GACACTTGTGTGTGCGGTTGCCTTTTACTTTCAAATTTGCATCAGATAAATGATTGCTTCTGACATAATATATCTCAATAATCTTATTACGATTAATAAATAATTAAAAAGCACAACAAAGCCCTCATATAGAAATCTGATACATGCTAATATATGCAAATCACATATTTAACATACCAGATATTGTTTTTATTTGACAGGCATACAGTCAACATATATTTCAAAATATTGCAAAAATGTTGTTTATATATTCATTTTCAATCATTAGAATTACAAACATGCACAAATGAGTTTAAATACAGTATATGAACTATCCTTTTTATAGGCAGTATATGTTCATATTTAGCCACATACAGTGTTAGAATTTTATATAGGCCATAAAACACACAATTAATTGCTTAATTTTTAGACAATTAATACAGTTTTATAATCAGCCCTACTTGCTTGACATGGTAGCCATTATTTGTTGTAATCTTTCAACTGCATGTCAAATATTGTGCACCGAAAAGATTCTTGTCATGTAAGTGTCATTGTATATTTGAAGGATTTCCAATCTCCGGCGGATGAAGAGGAGAATGGCGACAACCAGAACATCTGCGCAAGAGCACTATATGACTATCAGGCTTGTGAGTGCCTTTTACTGCATCATATAAAGTCATTAATTTCCCTTCGGCTTAGTCTGTTTTTCAGTGGTCACCACAGCAGAATGAACCGCCAACTAATCCGGCATATGTTTTACGCTTAAGATGGTGCTAAGTGTCAGTGGCGCCTGCAGCTGTACGCACTGTGCGTAGCTATCATGAGAGGGCTGGAATTAATGCCGGTTTTTTATTTATTTATTTGTGACATCATTTAAATTGATGATTAAACAGTATACACTACAGCTGCCTGCTTTCCCTCTATTGTGCCAAATCGCTGCAGCACTGCATTTGGTAGCACAAAAACTCGTTTTTGAGAACTTGATCAACAGCTACATGCGCTGCTGAAAGACTTTTTTTCTGCTGCGCATCGAATAAAGACACACTTAACATCATCGATGTCCACAATACATCCTATATCCATGAATCAGGAACATGCAGACTCTGAACAACGAGCAAATAACTGCACTTCAGTCAAGCCAGATGGCTTGTTTTGTAATTTAATCCCTGAAGGACGGTTACAGCGTGTTGTGATGTCGGCCGTCACCGGAGAAAGTCAAATCTTTCTTTCCTTTTGTTGACTTTAGTTTGAACGCTTTAGTGGCACTGTAGATGTCCAAGGTACTGTTGTACGAGTTCAATTATAGCCTATATATGCACCAATAAACAAGTTAAATTAATGAATAAATAAAACAAACATGGTTTCTTAAATGTCTGTATTGTTTTTACTCAAAAATAAATAATAATAATAACAAAATGTTTTATAAAAATAAAATGAGCAATTTTCACATTTTTAAAATGATTTATTAAATATAAGTTGGACATTTATGGGGCCATGTAACATGTTTCTGTGTTTGTTTGTTTTTCTCGGTGATCTTTAATATATACTGGGTAGCTACGCAAAATGTTTTCTTAAATGTCAAGCAGGAATTTGTCTATAGCTTTAATTATGAAGACAAAAAAATATTAAAAATAACAAAAATAAAATGATAAAAATACAAAGATAAAAAGAGCAGAATTTTGCTAAATTCTAAAACACTATTCGATTTTATTTCACTTGATGCATTCGTTATTTAATGTATGAATACTAAAATAACAGCCATCGGAAGGGGGCGGGGCGGTGCTGGATTTGTGCGTACCTTGGAATAAAATCCTGCAAGCGCCCCTGCTAAGTGTAACGCAGCGGCGCAGTGGTTAGTGCTGTCGCTTCACAGCAAGAAGGTCACTGGTTCGAGCCTCGACTGTGTCAGTTGGCGTTTCTGTGTGGAGTTTGCATGTTCTAGGCTAAATTGTCCGTAGTGTATGAGTGTGAATGAGTGTGTATGGATGTTTTTTAGAGATGGGTTGCAGCTGAAAGGGCATATGCTGCCTAAAAAACATGCTGGATAAGTTGGCGGTTCATTCCGCTGTGGCGCCCCTGGATTAATAAAGGGACTAAGCTGAAAAGAAAATGAATGAATGAATGAATGAAATAAAAATGCGTTGTTATCATGGTAATGCAAGCATAATGTAAACAGAAGTAATCAATTCTCTCAAAGTGCTCAGTTATTAAGATGTGTTGACATTATTATTATCTACATAATTAGTTGAGACTAAGCCGAGATGTAAAATAGAAAAAGGGGAAATTTAAGCTTATTATCTTAAACTATTTATTTGAAGATACATTTTTCAAAATGCCCTAATTTTATTTAATTAATATGAGAACATGCAAATCTACAGTCGTATGTGTGAAGCCTGCTGCATTGTCAGGTGTTTGTTACCCAATAAATATGTTTAGTGTTCTTTGAACTGTTCTATAGGCATTTTTTTTTCTAAGCATAGCACAAACCGTACCAAAACTGTGACCCTAAAACCGTGATACATACTGAACCGTGAGTAAATTAAACCGTTGCACCCCTATTAAAAACACATGCAAATGATTAACCTTCACTCCATTATGATTAAACTCTTTAACCATGTGGCTCCTGGTCAACTATAATCCCAACATATAAACTCAACATTGCACTTCCTGCCATGTGACTCTAGTGGATGTGCACATTGCGATATCGATGCTGAAATGATATATCCTGTAATCCTAGTTTGTGATACTAAATAGTTTAGATTTATGCATATTTTCTTCTCTCTTTCTCATTTAGCGGATGACACAGAGATCAGCTTTGACCCGGATGATGTTATCTCAGGGATCGACATGATAGATGAGGGCTGGTGGAGGGGTTACGGTCCGGACGGCCACTATGGGATGTTTCCTGCTAATTATGTCGAGCTTATGTAGATTTTGAGTAACCAATCAGGTGCGGTTTTAATATGTGTTTGCCTTGTGTGCTTTAATTGTGTTTGTGGGCATTTGGAGAAACTGGTTTCTTGTATTATACATATAATGTACAATAAAAGTTTGGAATAAAAGTCTCATTTGTTGTTTCAAATAAGCCAATCAAATCTCTGATATTAAAAAAGGGCATTTTTAATACAAAGTATTCCCCAGTGGTCCCTTAACTAAAACTGCTACAACACAACATGCTTACCTACAACATATGAATTACATAAAAATATTTACAATTTCCAAAAAGTTAATAAAGCATTATGGTACACATACAAAGCAGACAATATTAAAGGTGCGGTGTGTAAGTTTGACACCCAGTGGTTTGGCACTAGGTATTGCATGCCTGGTTCAAAATACACACAAGTGCAGTTTGCCAGATTGACGACATCAACAGGAGCGAGCCTTAAGGATGAATTAAGGCTGATTTAAAAAAAGCAACGGCACCCTACAGAAGGAATATTTTCCATATACTGTAAAAATAATTTTTTGTCCAAACCAGCTCCTGAAATTTATATTTTTGGCTTCTATTTTTAAATTGAAATTTTTAAACTGTATTTTGAATATACAAATTGGATTTGTGTATTTTTTTTATCGTGTTTTGAATTTACAAATTGAATTTGCATATATTTTAATTGGTTTTTTTTGAATTTACGAACTGGATTTGTATACTTTTTAATTGCTTTTTAAATTTACCTATTGGATTAGTGTATTTTTTAATCTTGTTTTGAATTTACAAATTGTATTGGCATTTTTCTTAATTGTTTTTTTTTTTAATTTACGAATTAGATTTGTGTATTTTTTTATTGTTTTTTAATTTGTGAATTGGATTTGTGTATTTTTGAATCGAGTTTTGAATTTACAAATTTAATTTGCATATTTTTTATATTTTTTTGAATTTACAAACTGGATTTGCATATTTTTAAATAGTTTTTAAAATTTACGAATTGGATTTGGGGTTTTTTTTTAATTGTGTTTTGAATTTACGAATTGGATTTGCTAATTTTTAAACCGTATTTTGAATTTACTAATTGAATTTGTGTATTTTTTTTATCGTGTTTTAAATTTACAAATTGAATTAGCATATATTATAATTGTTTTTTGAATTTACAAATTGGATTTGCAAATTTTTAAACCGTATTTTAAATTTACGAATTGGATTTGTGTATTTTTTTGATCGTGTTTTGAATTTACTAATTGTATTTTTGTATTTTTAAATTGTCTTTAGAATTTACGAATTGGATTGATATAATTTTAAATTGTTTTTTGTATTTTTAGAATTGGATTTGCAAATTTTTAAACCCTATTTTGAATTTACGAATTGGATTTGTGTATTTTTTTAATCGTGTTTTGAATTTACAAATTCAATTTGCATATATTTTAATTGTTTTTTGAATTTACGAATTGGATTTTCTTATTTTTAAATAGTTTTATTTTTTATTTACGAATTGGATTTGTGTGTTTTTTTTAATCGTGTCTTGAATTTATGACTTGTATTGGCATATTTCTTAATTGTTTTTTTTATTTACGAATTAGATATGCATGTTTTTATTGTTTTTTAAATTTGTAAATTGGATTCGCATATTTTTGAATCGTGTTTAAAACTTACGATGTGGATTTGCATATTTTTGAATCGGGTTTTAAACTTAGAAATTGGATTTTGTAAATGAATTGTGTTGTGGATGTATGAATTTTATTTTGTAAATGTATTATTTTTTAGACTAAACCGGCTCCATACAAAACGGCCAAAAAACAATGTATACACTGTAAATATATAAATACATACAAGAAATATACATAAAATAAAGCCAAAATTTAAAAATAAGATGCAAAGTGTGCAATCAATTGAACTTCAAGGACTGATGTTTCAGTGGAATTTTAAATAAGGCACGACAAGATAATGTTTTACTAACCTTAATGTTTCCTGAGCCAGAGTGTTTCAAAATATCTCCCAGCATAGGGAAGGCTATGGAATGCATACGGTCGTGACGTCGATCTCACGCGACGCGATGCTTATATAAGCGCCTCTTCGACGTCATCAGCCCGATTCTGCCAGTTTTGGGGAAGAGAAAGACATGGCTGCAAGGTTACTGCTGAGAGGCGCCGTACGGGCCGCGACGACCTGCAAATCCCGCCCGGTGCTCGCCGTGAGCCGGGGAATGGCTGCCGGAGGTCAGTGTTTCATCGGCGTCTGTTTTTAGTGACCGGACACCCCGCAGCATCACTCCAGAGTCGGTTTGAACGCTTGCCAAGGACGCGCTGGAGGTCGATGCGCTAACCGAAACCGCTGTTTATGCACGAAAACACGCGTTAAATTATGATTTCTTGAGGGATGTTGTTAGAAATGTTGATTTAGGCTTTTAATATTTGGTATTGTTTAGTTTTATTGTTGTACTTGATTTATAAGATAGCATAAATGTCTAGTGTTGACTATTAGCATGACGTGTGTTGCTAGAAGGGATACAGCTGCGGCCAGAGGTTAACGAGAGCTTTTTATATTATTTATTAGTTACTCAATTGTGTTTTATTAACATCTAAACTATATCATCCTTATAATGTTAAAATATGAATTATTGTTTGTACGCTGTCACAAAAAATGCTATATTGATGTATCCGCAGCTGTATGCCATCTAGACTTTGCCTCAAGCACACAGAACTAAACGGAAATGGAGTATTTTTAAAGCATTAAGTTATCAAAGTCTTAATTGTAAACTTAATATTTTTACACAGGAATTCCCACTGATGAGGAGCAGGCTACTGGACTCGAGAAGAAGATTATGACTGCTCTGAAGACAGGCTCTGTATGCATTATCTTATTAACTGTCAAAACTGACAGGCCAAGGGTTTTTTTTTTTTTTGCATGCATAACATATCAAGGATTAATTCTCACCAAATTGGCGTTCAGCCATTATTTGTTCATCTTCATATTGATTGCATACACAAGTATTAGTTACAAATATTCGTTTTCCCCCTAGTACTTTATACATTAATATTAAACCGCAAAGAATCCTTTGTGGTTTTAAAATATAAAGTGCATCTCATAGCCACATTTTGGGTTTAATGTCATTATGACTTTATATACAGTTTTTTTTAAGGAATCTACATTTTTTTATATTCTCCAAAAAGCTCAAAGTTGGTAAACTGGCTTACGAATATGGCCTCATTGTGTACGATTGAAAAAAAAAAAGTATTTTAGATATTTTTCTCAGTTTAAATGATCTTTACTCCCCCTGATGTTGCTCCAAAAAGTAACCAGTAAGCTGTGAAAAGGGATTTTTGAGTAGCTGGATTAATTATATCAGATTTATTATCTCAACCATTATAAAAATCATTAAATTCATTTATTAATGCTTACTTTGAGCAGTTAGTTCCAAAGTAACTTTTTTCACTCGTCGTCCCTTTTTTCCATTATAGCAATTTTTTTTGTCCCTGTTTTTTTTTTTGTAGCTTTATTTTAGTACATAAAGATAAACTAAATGGTAATGTACAGATTTTCTTACCAGTTTGCTGGAATGGATGTTTTGTATTGCATTTCAAATAACAAAATGTTTTTGTAATTTTAATTTGTTAAAGGTCACTAATGGAGCTGCGCGATTCTGGCTAAAATGAGAATCGAAATTTTTTTTGCCTAAAAATAAAGATCACGATTTTCTCACGATTCTGTAGATGTAAAATAAAGGTTAATATTAGTGTTTTTCTCAAACATATGGTAAAACAGCAATATTAATATTAAGTGTAGGTCTACTGGTTTCTATAAATAATTATATTCTACTTATAACAATTCTGATGTTGAATTATGTTTGCGATATAGGCCTATGCTTGCAATCTGTCATTGAGAACATTATTAGACCATTTAATTCACTGGTAAAACCAACAATATATAGGCTAGAGTAGTTATACTGACACTGTAAACATTTATTTTCATGCACAACTGTGTGTTCACTATGAAAACAAAAACGTATCAAATGCTTGTCACAATCATAACTGTAAAATGCAGTGTGATCTTTTAAATGACGTGCTCGCTTTCGGTCTCATTTTCACTGCTAAGTGCTGTTCATACTTCGCGCGCGGCTCTCAAACGATCACTCTGTGCCACAAACTGAATATTATTTACAACTTTATTAACCGTTACTCACAACATATGCAGGTTCTGTTCACTAAAGTAGACACTCACATGTCTATCATTAAGTAGAGCGTGCGCCTTCCCACTGTGATAACAGCTCACGGTCAGCAGCTCAAGTCACGTGTGATTTCCCGGCTGCAAATACAGCATTATATGAAGACAAAAATGACATTTTCAGGTGAATTACACCTTATAAATACAGAATGTGACTCTTAACATCATTTGGAGGTGTCAATGTCGCTGAGCAACGTGTGTGAAACAATGAAAAGACTCATACAGCCGCCTTTGCTTCTCTCCTGAACTTGAAAATATGATTGGCAGAATCGTAGAAACACTGGATTACGATCGTCTAGGGGGTCAAATCGAGATCGCGACCTTTTTTTCGATTAATCGTGCTCTAGTCACTAAAGTTTTTCTAATTTTGTGCCGAACCATTCTAAGGCCCTGTCCACACGGACAGCAGGGGCGCAACTACACATTTACTGAGGGGTATGCGGGTTCAAATTTTGTGTGATCCCTCTTATTTTATATTAATTAATTAATAATAAATGAAGACAAATTTTCTGATTAATCTTATAACTTTTGACATTATGTATGATTTGACAGTTTATTTAGAAAAAAATAAAAACAAATCTAAACAGTTACATCTACATGAACACTTTCGGCTGTGGGACTGCATGTTATTGTGTTTAAGGATTTTGAATTAAACAATAACAATATTATATTCGTTTAAAATTCAAAATCATGCTTTTTAACAAAACATATTTATTTATATTTATTATTTGAAACTTTTAATAAGGATAATTTTAAAAATAGTTTTGGCACAACGGCGCCCCCCCCATGTGTGGTGCCCCTATGTGCTGCATATACTGCATACCCCCTTGTTGACGGACACTGGCATTTTCAAAACCGCGTGCTGTTTGTCCTTACAAAAATGAAGTATCAGGTGACAAACAGAAACTTCAAGAAAACTCCAGCCAGGGTGAAGATCTTCTAAAGTTGTGTACGATGTGGTCAAAACAAGCACCCCCACAACCAAACAAGATTCAGCCCTTTTATGATCTCTTTAGTTACAATACACACTGAAGTGATTGGGCATTTGATTTGGTAATGGTAACTGGACCTTGTGTTAGTTGAGCTTCACAATCTCATCTGACTGATATATTTTTCAATCTTCCAGGACCCTTACAGCATGCTGAAGCCCAAGAGTTACGCAGGCTCAAAGTCGGACCCTCATATTGTCCCTTCCATCACCAACAAAAGAATTGTCGGCTGCGTCTGTAAGTCCAAACTCTTCATCCTTGATTGTTCATTTGTAATTTTCTCCAGTGGATGGCTGTATTATTAACCTCATGTGTGTCTGTAGGTGAGGAGGACAACACTGCTGTGGTTTGGTTTTGGCTTCATGAGGGTGAAGCTCAGCGATGCCCTTCCTGCGGCTCTCATTACAAGCTGGTGCCTCATGAGCTTCCTCACTGAGCCTTAAATCCCATAATTCCACAGGCCCCGCCACCTCTGTCATGTTCGTCTTTTTTTGCAGGGAAGTTCAGGAGATGTAACCTTTCCTGATGTGGGACGCAATCTTTTAACAATTCCAAAAAAAAGCAGTTTACGTAAATTATTGGAGTGTCGTTTGTTGCGTTTGGTCTGGTTACACTTAATAAACATGATTACTCTGACTGGGCCTCTTGTGTTTTAATTCTGCTCTGTTCAGTTTGGAGTGCGCCAACACACAGAATCTGAATGTTTTTCATTGCATTAACCTAGGAAAGGAACCTATTATGCCCCTTTGTACAAGATGTAAAGTAAGTCTCTAGTGTTTATGTGAAGTTTCAGCTCAAAATATCAATAAATAATGTTTTAAAGGTTTCTGAAACTGACCCTTTTAGACTTTGATCCTAATTTTGGTGACTGTCGCTTTAAATTTAAATGTTTGTCCTCTTTTAAAAAGAGGGCTGAGCTACAAATGCCTGTTGATGCGTCCCAATTCACATACTATCCGTCCTAAATAGTATTTGAAAATAGAATTAGTGCGTCTCAAATCATAGTATGTTGAAAAGAGTATCCCAAAGGTTCCTGGATGGTTTACCATGTCTGGTAAAAATTTTAAGTGTAGAACCATCCATACTCTAACCCAGGGGTGTCAAACTCAATTCCTGGAGGGCCGAAGCCCTGCACAGTTTAGTTCCAACCCTGCTCCAACACACTTACCTGTAGGTTTCAAACAAGCCTGAAGGACTCAATTAGTTTGATCAGGTGTGTTTGATTAGGGTTGGAACTAAACTGTGCAGAGCTGCGGCCCTTTTGGAACTGAGTTTGACACCTGTGCTGTAACTGCTGATATTGCCCACATTGCTCATTGTATGTGAAGTTGATTAAAACTGCAAACATGGTGAACTGAACTTGTATAAAGACGTGTTTCGACTTTTAACATCTGAATGCAAATTACTCAAAGACCTGAGGATAATTCTCTGCATGAAAGACTCGTGAATGGCAGATAAACCTGCTGCTGCTTCTCCAAAAAGGTATGAAATTATGTCAGAAGTGTAAAGGATTGACAGGGCTCATAACTAAGCAACACAATGATCTGTTAATGAGGAACTAGTGTCCCAAAGCTTGCTCTTATGTTACATACCCGTAGGTATATATTTTTCCTTCACTAAAAAAGTACATACTTGTAGGGTGTTGTATAAGTATGTGCATTGGGATGTAGCACAAGTGTCAGTATTCAAAAACAAGACTAACTTCCTATGCTAATTAGTGATGATTGCCAACAGGCGGGGCTTTCCCCCCTTTAATGACACATACAAAGGGAGAATGCCAATCAAAGTGTTTCTGCAGACTGATTTTATCCAGTCTGATTATAAAACATAGAATTAATAAATATTTACCATTGGAAGCTGCTTATATTCACACACTGCTGCCACTGTGTTTAAACCCCTTATCAAGGTGATTTTTGCTTAAAAGCTCTCCTTTAAAGGCCTATTGATTAAACAGCTTGCGCTTAAAGCCTTGTTTGTTCTGTAGACTGGACTAAATCTTGCATTTCTTCATGAATCTAGTGTTATTAGTAAATATTGGCTAATTAATATTACCCATGACATTCTAATTTTCCAACATTTTAAACTTTACTACTTAATACTTTATTGGTTTAATAATATGAAAAAAACACTGAGCTGTTTTTAGTTTTAGCTTGTCTTTAATATTAATATTCAATTGTCATTTATGAAATAAGCATCAACTTTTAAAAAAAGATATATATAAAACTAACCTTTTAAAAGCTGTTTGCCCAGAAAATATTTATTTTTTAATAGGTTAAACTTGAAACTAAACAGGAGTAAACATTTAAACTAATTCAAATGAGAAAAGCACGACAAAATGACCAAAACCATCAAACTTAAATAGACATTATGTTAATAATCTGTGTTAATTCATATATTTATTCCTTGATTAATTTTTGTTATTTGAAATGTCAGCTTTTTTATTTATAACTTTTTTTATCTACAACCAAAATGTCATTTCATTTAATGGACTTAATTTAATGGCTTTTGTTTTAGACCATTACAATGTGGTCATGTCTTTGGCCCATGAACATTTCCTGCTTGATATCATATATTATAGCTGTAAACAAGAGGCAATTACTTAATGTTAAAACACCTTTCATAACATTATTTATCAATATGATTCTCTGTTTGGATTAGCAGAAGCTATAGAAATTATAAATGTAAAACAGGAAATATGTTGGGATCAATTTTATTGTTTACATTCCTCAAAATGGTCTATAACAGGGGTCACCAAACTTGTTCCTGGAGGGCAGGTGTCCTGCAGATTTTAGCTCCAACCCTAATCAAACACACCTGAACAAGTTAATCAAGGTTTTACTAGGTATACTTAAAACACCCAGGCAGGTGTGTTGAGGTAAGTTGGAGCTAAAACCTGAAGGGACCGAGATTGGTGACCCCTGGTCTATAATATTTGATCTTGGCTTTCTTTTGATGCTGCTTTTCTAAAGACTATATTGTTGCTTCATTATTTAGCAGGTCATCACTCGTAACGCAACAACTTCTAGCTTTAATTTCCTCTGTTTTAATTAAACTGTCAGAGTCCTGTTATGTACAGTCTGTCCTTCTGTGGTCTGAACTCCCAATCGTTTGCGCTTTCTTTCAGTGTCCACAAGGGGTCATTTGTAGGAATAAAATCTGAAGGGCCTCTGGGAAGAATGTAGAGAGATAGATGCCATTTGTAACACAAAAAACAAATGATTTTTATTCAAATACATATAATATCATGTTAAAAGTGGCATAAACTCCCAATTCTAATGCTCGGTTTGACTTTTTCGATTTCTCTTTACTGCATGCTTTTGTTAATTGAAGTCTTTCGCAGTTGAAGTCAGAATTATTAGCCCCCTGTTGTGTACAGTCTGTCCTTCTGTGGTCTGAACTCCCAATTGTTTGTGTTTGCACTTTCTTTCAGTGTCCACAAGGGGTCATTTGTTTGTAAGAATAAAAACTGAAGGGCCTCTGGCAAGAATGCAAAGACAAAGATACTATTTCTAACATGGAAACACAGTATTTATATTAAAATATAAATAATACCATGTTAAAAGTGGCTTAAATCACCTTAATCCCCTAACTCTGATGCTCGGTTTGACTTTTACATTTCTCAAGCCTACATGCTTTTATTAATTGAAGTCTTTCGCAGTTCAAGTCAGAATGATTAGCCCCCTGTTGTGTACAGTCTGTCCTTCTGTGGTCTGAACTCCCAATTGTTTGTGTTTGCACTTTCTTTCAGTGTCCACAAGGGGTCATTTGTCTGTAAGAATAAAAACTGAAGGGCCTTTGGCAAGAATGCAAAGACAAAGATGCCATTCCTAACACGAAAAACACACTATTTTTATTCAAATACTTATAACAGGGGTCTCAAACTCGCGGCCCGCGGGCCATTTGCGGCCCTCAGTGCAATATTTTGTGGCCCGCGCCGACCGCTGTACACTGACAGAATCAGCGGAGCTCTCTCCCCGCTCCGCTGATTCTATCTGTACACAGCAGTCACTGGCATTCCCCGCCCGCCGTTTAAACAAAGGGGCGGGGATGCCGGTGGCGTCACCACGTACCCCGCCCCTTTGTTAGACGCTGTGACGGGAACTCGCGCCGGCCAGAACCAAGGTAAGCTGTTCCCGCCCCTGCCTGCCACTTAGCTACCTAGCTACAGCCTGCATTCAGGGCTCGAAATTGCGACCATTTTGGTCGCATATGCGCCCGAAAATTAATCTATGCGACCTCATAATATATTTGGGCGCATTAGTGCGACTGCTGATAATGGTTGTAGTGCGACCTGTTTTGATTATTTGTAAAAACGTGCTGAATCGCTCTTCCCTGCCGCTATATTGGTTCATATTAGCTGTCAATCACTCAAGCTATTCCGCTGTCAGATGACGGGGAAGGAGCTTTTATGACCACGGGAAATGCAAACGGCTGAAGAGTAAAAACTTAAAGCACACAGGTTTGCAAACCCCACCTAAAATTGAGGTGCAGATGAGAGCGATCATGACACGTCATGTGGTGAATAATGATCCGCCAGCTGAGATCAATCGAGTACGCGCTTCTTGGAGAAGGCGCCCGAATCTCCATGCGTCGCATTCACTGCGTGTTCAGCGCAAATGTCCGCTAAAAGTCAAATCTACTACTGTACATATCATTGCCAAAGAAGCTCGCCTTTACTAAGTTTACACTGAAACTGCGGCTCATAACAAACAGCGGTATTGCGCCGGTGGTATTCGCAAGAATCTTGCGCTGCCTGCTCATAAATTGGGTCGGCTGATTCGCCAGCTTTTCCACAAACATGAGAAGACAAAAGACTGAACCTTTAAATTGACACAAACTGAAACCAAAACTTTTAAAGAGTGATAGAAGTGAGACTTTACTTTCTTTCTTTTGTCTATTCTTTTTTGAGGTGTATATTATTATTATTTTTATATACTGATGACTGCTTTGCAGCTTTCATCATTGAATTGAATGATTTATTATAATCTTTTGTTTGTTTTGTAGCAGAAATATTATTTATTAAATTGACATGCATATAAAAACAGCAGTACAAAATAAATATTTCTTACTGCAATGCTTCATTTTTGTTTGATGCAAACTAAACAATTATTTTTCATAAAGTAACAGACTTTTTATAGCAGATAACCTACATTCATGCACATTCAAGGCAGTATCATAATGAGAAATGGAATTCATTGTTATTATTATTGTCATTTTCATCATCATTATTTTCTATGGCCTAATTATTAGACATTCATTTTGGAATTATTGCACACAAATATCAATGTCTTCGCAGCATTAGTTAGATAGTTGTTTCTGTTTTTTGTCAGTCCTATTGATGTTGTTTTAAAATACAATAAATCCTTTAAAAAGCAATTTGCAGCGGTGCTCATTCAGTTTTGGCGGGTGCTCCTAAATTTTTTCTGGTGCTCCTAAATTTATTTTGGTGCTCCTAAATATTTGAAGTTGGGAGCACCGGTGCTACCAAGTAAAAAAGTTAATTTCTAGCCCTTTCTTATATATATTATAGGTAGATACAGACTGGTACAGACTGATGTGACTGGAGTGGGGTGGGGGTGTTTTATTTATACATATATACGCCTTTTTTTAGGTGAGGGAATGGAAGTTTTGTG